TTCGGTTTTTTCAGGTTTAATTAAATTAGGTTAGGTTAGGTTTAAAAAATTAGCGACAATTTTTTCAATAAAAAAAAAGATTGAGTTTCTTTATAACGCGGTTTATTTTAAAGGAAATTTTCTAAAAAAGTTTCCGTCATATTTTTCGTGATTTTCAGGTTTGATAAAGTGCGGGTTGATAAGAAAAATATTGACAATTTTTTCACAAAAAGGAAGAATCAGTTTGGATATATTGAGATTTATTTCAAAGAATTTTTCAAAAAAAAATATTCCGGCATTTCTTTTCGGTTTTTTCAGGTTTAATTAAGTGCGGTTAGGTTTAAAAAATTAGCGACAATTTTTTCAATAAAAAAAAAGATTGAGTTTCTTTATAACGCGGTTTATTTTAAAGGAAATTTTCTAAAAAAGTTTCCGGCATATTTTTCGTGATTTTCAGGTTTGATAAAGTGCGGGTTGATAAGAAAAATATTGACAATTTTTTCACAAAAAGGAAAATTCAATTTGTATATATTAAGATTTTTTCAAAGAAATTTTCAAAAAGAAATATTCCGGCATTTATTTTCGGTTTTTTCAGGTTTAATTAAGTGCGGGTAGGTAAGATAATTAATCGATAATTTTTTCAAGAATAAAAGAAGGATTAATTTGGATTTTTCCGATTTATTTCGAAAGAATTTTCAAAACAAAAAAAAAAGTCCGGCATTTATTTTCGGTTTTTTCAGGTTTAATTAAGTGCGGGTATGTTTAAAAAATTAGCGACAATTTTTTCAATAAAAAAAAAGATTGAGTTTCGTTATTACTCGGTTTATTTTAAAGGAAATTTTCTAAAAAAGTTTCGGCATTTCTTTTCGGTTTTTTCAGGTTTAATTAAGTGCGGTTAGGTTTAAAAAATTAGTGACAATTTTTTCAATAAAAAAAAAGATTGAGTTTCTTTATAACGCGGTTTATTTTAAAGGAAATTTTCTAAAAAAGTTTCCGGCATATTTTTCGTGATTTTCAGGTTTGATAAAGTGCGGGTTGATAAGAAAAATATTGACAATTTTTTCACAAAAAGGAAAAATCAATTTTGATATATTGAGATTTATTTCAAAGAATTTTTCAAAAAAAATATTTCGTCATTTATTTTCGGTTTTTTCAGGTTTAATTATGTGCGGGTAGGTAAGATAAACAATCGATAATTTTTTCAAGAAAAAAAGAAGGATTAATTTGGATTTTTTTCGATTTATTTCGAAAGAATTTTCAAAAAAAATATTCCGGCATTTATTTTCGGTTTTTTCAGGTTTAATTAAGTGCGGGTAGGTAAGATAAATAATCGATAATTTTTTCAAGAAAAAAAGAAGGATTAATTTGGATTTTTTCCAATTTACTTCGAAAGAATTTTCAAAACAAAAAAATATTCGGGCATTTATTTTCGGTTTTTTCAGGTTTAATTAAGTGCGGGTAGGTAAGATAAATAATCGATAATTTTTTCAAGAAAAAAAGAAGGATTAATTTGGATTTTTTTCGATTTATTTCGAAAGAATTTTCAAAAAAAATATTCCGGCATTTATTTTCGGTTTTTTCAGGTTTAATTAAGTGCGGGTAGGTAAGATAAATAATCGATAATTTTTTCAAGAAAAAAAGAAGGATTAATTTGGATTTTTTCCAATTTATTTAGAAAGAATTTTCAAAAAAAAATATTCCGGCATTTCTTTTCGGTTTTTTCAGGTTTAATTAAGTGCGGTTAGGTTTAAAAAATTAGCGACAATTTTTTCAATAAAAAAAAAGATTGAGTTTCTTTATAAGGCGGTTTATTTTAAAGGAAATTTTCTAACAAAGTTTCCGGCATATTTTTCGTGATTTTCAGGTTCGATAAAGTGCGGGTTGATAAGAAAAATATTGACAATTTTTTCACAAAAAGGAAAAATCAATTTTGATATATTGAGATTTATTTCAAGGAATTTTTCAAAAAAAATATTTCGTCATTTATTTTCGGTTTTTTCAGGTTTAATTATGTGCGGGTAGGTAAGATAAACAATCGATAATTTTTTCAAGAAAAAAAGAAGGATTAATTTGGATTTTTTCCAATTTACTTCGAAAGAATTTACAAAACAAAAAAATATTCCGGCATTTATTTTCGGTTTTTTCAGGTTTAATTAAGTGCGGGTAGGTAAGATAAATAATCGATAATTTTTTCAAGAAAAAAAGAAGGATTAATTTGGATTTTTTCCAATTTATTTAGAAAGAATTTTCAAAAAAAATAGTCCGGCATTTATTTTCGGTTTTTTCTGGTTTAATTATGTGCGGGTAGGTAAGATAAATAATCGATAATTTTTTCAAGAAAAAAACAAAGAATTAATTTGGATTTTTTCCAATTTACTTCGAAAGAATTTTTCAAAAAAAAATATTCCGGCATTTCTTTTCGGTTTTTTCAGGTTTAATTAAATTAGGTTAGGTTAGGTTTAAAAAATTAGCGACAATTTTTTCAATAAAAAAAAAGATTGAGTTTCTTTATAACGCGGTTTATTTTAAAGGAAATTTTCTAAAAAAGTTTCCGTCATATTTTTCGTGATTTTCAGGTTTGATAAAGTGCGGGTTGATAAGAAAAATATTGACAATTTTTTCACAAAAAGGAAGAATCAGTTTGGATATATTGAGATTTATTTCAAATAATTTTTCAAAAAAAAATATTCCGGCAATTCTTTTCGGTTTTTTCAGGTTTAATTAAGTGCGGGTAGGTTTGAAAAATTAGCGACAATTTTTTCAATAAAAAAAAAGATTGAGTTTCTTTATAACGGGGTTTATTTTAAAGGAAATTTTCTAAAAAAGTTTCTTGCATATTTTTCGTGATTTTCAGGTTTGATAAAGTGCGGGTTGATAAGAAAAATATTGACAATTTTTTCACAAAAAGGAAAAATCAATTTTGATATATTGAGATTTATTTTGAAAGAATTTTCAAAACAAAAAAAAAAGTCCGGCATTTATTTTCGGTTTTTTCAGGTTTAATTAAGTGCGGGTAGGTAAGATAAATAATCGATAATTTTTTCAAGAAAAAAATAAGGATTAATTTGGATTTTTTCCGATTTATTTCGAAAGAATTTTCAAAACAAAAAAAAAAGTCCGGCATTTATTTTCGGTTTTTTCAGGTTTAATTAAGTGCGGGTATGTTTAAAAAATTAGCGACAATTTTTTCAATAAAAAAAAAGATTGTGTTTCGTTATTACTCGGTTTATTTTAAAGGAAATTTTCTAAAAAAGTTTCCGGCATATTTTTCGTGATTTTCAGGTTTGATAAAGTGCGGGTTGATAAGAAAAATTTTGACAATTTTTTCACGAAAAGGAAAAATCAATTTGGATATATTAAGATTTTTTCAAAGAAATTTTCAAAAAGAAATATTCCGGCATTTATTTTCGGTTTTTTCAGGTTTAATTAAGTGCGGGTAGGTTTGAAAAATTAGCGACAATTTTTTCAATAAAAAAAAAGATTGAGTTTCTTTATAACGGGGTTTATTTTAAAAGAAATTTTCTAAAAAAGTTTCCGGCATATTTTTCGTGATTTTCAGGTTTGATAAAGTGCGGGTTGATAAGAAAAATATTGACAATTTTTTCACAAAAAGGAAAAATCAATTTTGATATATTGAGATTTATTTCAAAGAAATTTACAAAAGAAGTTTCCAGTATTTATTTTCGGTTTTTTCAGGTTTAATTATGTGCGGGTAGGTAAGATAAATAATCGATAATTTTTTCAAGAAAAAAACAAAGAATTAATTTGGATTTTTTCCAATTTACTTCGAAAGAATTTAAAAAAAAAAATATTCCGCCATTTATTTTCGGTTTTTTCAGGTTTAATTATGTGCGGGTAGGTAAGATAAATAATCGATAATTTTTTCAAGAAAAAAACAAAGAATTAATTTGGATTTTTTCCAATTTATTTAGAAAGAATTTTTCAAAAAAAAATATTCCGGCATTTATTTTCGGTTTTTTCAGGTTTAATTAAGTGCGGTTAGGTTTAAAAAATTAGCGACAATTTTTTCAATAAAAAAAAAGATTAAGTTTCTTTATAACGCGGTTTATTTTCAAGGAAATTTTCTAAAAAAGTTTCCGGCATATTTTTCTTGATTTTCAGGTTTGATAAAGTGCGGGTTGATAAGAAAAATATTGACAATTTTTTCACAAAAAGGAAAAATCAATTTTGATATATTGAGATTTATTTCAAAGAAATTTACAAAAGAAGTTTCCAGTATTTCTTTTCGAATTTTTCAGGTTTAATTAAGTGCGGGTAGGTAAGATAAATAATCGATAATTTTTTCAAGAAAAAAAGAAGGATTAATTTGGATTTTTTCCAATTTACTTCGAGAGATTTTTCAAAAAAATAGTCCGGCATTTATTTTCGGTTTTTTCAGGTTTAATTAAGTGCGGGTAGGTTTGAAAAATTAGCGACAATTTTTTCAATAAAAAAAAGATGAGTTTCGTTATTACGCGGTTTATTTTAAAGGAAATTTTCTAAAAAAGTTTCTGGCATATTTTTCGTGATTTTCTGGTTTAATAAAGTGCGTGTTGATAAGAAAAATATTGACAATTTTTTTACAAAAAGGAAGAATCAAATTGGATATATTGAGATTTATTTCAAAGAAATTTTCAAAAAAAAAATTTTCCGTCATTTCTTTTCGAATTTTTCAGGTTTAATTAAGTGCGGGTAGGCAAGATAAATAAGCAATAATTTTATCAAGAAAGAAGGAAGAATTAATTTTGATTTTTTACGATTTATTTCGAAAGAATTTAAAAAAAAAATAGTCCGGCATTTATTTTTGATTTTTTCTGGTTTAATTAAGTGCGGGTAGGTTTGAAAAATTAGCGACAATTTTTTCAATAAAAAAAAAGATTGAGTTTCGTTATTATGCGGTTTATTTCAGAGGAAATTTTCTAAAAATTTTCCTGCATATTTTTCGTGATTTTCAGGTTTTGACATAATAATACACAACAATTTTTTTAACATAAAATATATCTTAAATTTCTACTTTTTGGTAGATTTTTTCTTAGAAAAAATAAATCTTTGGAAAATGTTTTCCACTTTTTTTTGTTTTTCACATTTAACAAAGTGTGGAAAGAGATGAACAAATTGGTTGGTTACTTCGTTACTCTATTTTTTTGTATGTGCTCTTATCTGCAATGCCGCTAAAAAAATAAATTTCTTTATTAATTCATATACAGTAATTGTATATAATATATAATTTTTAAGGTATTATTTTTTTAATAATTACGTTTTGTCTTTGAGAAGGAAATGATGGAAACTATTTTAGGTTGTTTATTAATGCTGGACTCGATTTTTACATTGGTCGGTGTTGAAGTTGTCTCTGTGTTTGTGGGTAGTGAAGCTGGCGAGACAGTCCTCATTTCTATTGGGGCTGTTTTTAGTACTATAAAAAGTTAGTAAGTATATATCTAATAGTATATAGTATTTGTAGTTTTTTTGTATTAAAATTCTATTCTTTAATACCTTTTTGGGCTGCCACTGGCTTTACTGTTGCCCAATCTGCGGCTCTCTTTTGTGCTTTCCTTGCACCTGGAGTAAGCTCCCTTTTAACTGATTCTGAAAAATTAATAAGCATTTAATTTTTTTAATAAAATTAAAAAAATAACTTTGAATAAAGGTTTTCATTCTTTACTTATTTTTTCCACTGGTGGGTACGAGTAATATCTTCCTTTAGCTGCAATGATAATGAAAAAATTATCTATATTATACTATTTTGTTTATATAAAAAAAATTTCAACAATTATTTTTTCATATTACCCGGCTTTCGTGGATTTTGTCGACGAATGGAGGACGTCGTTGGCATAACATCTTCGCAAATTATTGAAGGTGCTGCTGTTGTTGATACCACCGTTGATGTATGAGTTTTTTGTTGTGTCTCTAAATAAAGGGAAAATTAATTTTTTTAATAATAATAATAATAATAATAATGTATGTAACAAATTATTCTAAATATTAATTTTTCTTACCAGATGTAATGGAAACATTTGTACCTGTCGCTGTTGATAGAATCAGTTTTGCTGTAATATTTAACGGTAAAATAATGTTAATTGTTTGTATAAAAACTGTATACCATGCTTTAATGTGTAATGGAAAACTTAAATTTAATACTATTTTACTTAAATAAAAGAGTCAAATTATGTAAGAAAATCCTTAAACTCTATGCAACTATGTTTCTTAAAAAAATTATAAATTATATAATAATTTTTTAGACATTACATTTTTGAGAATGATTTCATACATACACCTTTATCTTCTTATGAAAAAAATATTACCTACTTCCTAAATCATCGATATATTATAAAATAAAAATTATTTCATAAGAACAATTTTTCAATGTTTTAAAGATATAAGATGCTCCTTACAGAAATAGACGGGGATTATCTTTCGGATTTTTTTGAAAGTTTGGTAAAATGAAGTAAATTATTATTTTTTTGGCAAATATTTCCAATAAAAACTTTTAGCAATATTTTTTTCTTTCTTTATAATTTTTTCCTTACTTAAAGTAATTAAAATTATTTAGAATTTTTTTAAAGCAGAAGACCTTAAATTTATAGATAAAAATCATTTTCGTAAACAAATATTAATTTCTAAAAAATTTGTTTAAGAAATAAAATTTATTTACAATTTTTAAACATGTTTTTGCTCTTTTTGAAGCGCGAAAAAATCGTAAATATTGTTTAAGGGAGCAGTCTATTTCTTAGTTTTCAAAAATATTATTTTCGTACACTATATGTAGGTAGGATTAGTGTAAAAATACTTAAAAAGCGATTAAGGACCAAGGGGAAATCCCACAGATGATCCTGTCTTTTCATGTGAAATGCCTATCATAATACTGTTATTATTTATTTATTTGTTAATAATATTAGTAATTAATTAATTTATTCATAATTTTTATAAATTATATAAATAAGGTAATTAATCATAATTTTTATACTAAATAAATCTAAAAGACCATTTTCAAAAATGTAAGGTTAAAAATTTAGAAAATAATAAAAAATTTAAAACAAATTCATGGTTAAAGAAATAAAATAATTTGAATGCGGTAAATTTTTTACATTTTTTAAGTGGTACTTAGTTCCTTTAGGCAAAAATTATAAATAGCTTTGTCTAATTAAAATATTTATAAAATTTTTTAAATATGGTACTTCGAAACTTATCCTTACTAGGCTACTATATAATAATGGGAATTGAAAAAAAAATTAATATACTTACAGCAATTAGAATGAGCTACGGTATTATTATATAAATCATCGCACTGATCGCAGTGTATGAGCGCGTGAGCTGACTCAATGTGAGTATAATATGATTTCTCATTTCCCGTTTCTTTGTCGCAAATTGGACATTTCCAATCATTTTCATTAAATTCCACCCTATCGTCCCACGGTGTATTTCGAACGACACTGCATGTGTCGGAAATTACTGCAGGTACTGATTCATCTTCTATAAATAAATACAACCAGAATTATGATTAAAAAAATGGTTACTTTTTATTTTTTAAGCATTATCAGAATAAGTTAAAATAGCTACCTCATATATTTTCGTCTATGAGTTTTTATTTTTTTTGTTTTTTAAAAGTTACATGTGTATAAATTTTTACCCTATTAAATATTGTTCAAAAATATTAATTATTTTGGAAGTGATATAAGATTGGATTTTTTTGGAACAAATTTTTAATTTAACTATTACACAAATATTTAATAATATATCGGGAACCTATTAAGATTTTTCAAGTTTCATTGAGTTAATTAATAAGGAAGATATTTAAGAAACTTTTTTCTAATATAATTGGTAATTGTAATTACCTCCAGTGATAAGTGTCTTGTTCAGCTCTACGAAATCATATTTTATTGTTCTGCAGCTCTGTAGAAATTCAAGCAGTATAATTCTGCGCTCACGTTTGCTACACAGTTTAGACTCTTCAATCCTTGCCCAACCGCCTTTTATAATCTTTTCTTTTCTTTTCTCTTCTTCTGATAAATTTCGTTTAGATACTCCATTCATGCATCTCGACGTATGATCGAGGTGAGTGTCTTTAATATAGAGAAGTAGTTTATCTGAAAGAAAAAGAATACTAATACATTTATTTGAATAAATTTATTAAGTAAAAGTAAAGTTGTGGCTCAGGAGTTTTATAAGTCGTTCATTATAAATCAGATTTTAAATATTAAAGCAGTTTCTTTTAGGGGATTGACAAATTTTTACAATGTAACATACCAATATAACTAACAAGATTCGGATGGTTGCCTATAAAATCGTTCCAAGATCTATTGTTCCTTTCTGTGTCGTTATTAGTTCTTCTCTCTTCCATGTACACGGAAAATATATCTGGTGTAGTTATTTTTAACCAATAACGCACATAGTAGTCAATCAATGGAGCCAATAACTTTCGAGGAGATATATAAACTTCAGGATTATTTATCAAGGGAATGGTTTCTGCGGTTGGCAGCTGTTCAACGAGATAATTAAATATATCCTGGATGTCTTGAGGAGGAAGAAATGCTAAGTATTTTAATTTTTCCGTAAAGGCCAAAAGTATTTCGTATTTACTCACATACTGCCGTAGCCCGAGAGAGTTGATTTGTTTATCAATGTTCTGGATAATGAAAGTTTTATTATGAATAAAGCATATTATTAGGATTCATTTAAATATAACTTTGCAATAAAAAATGAACTTTTTAGCTTTTTCTATATTAACCATTTAAATTTCTTTAGGTATAATATTAAATATTTTCCAATTGTATTACATTTTTGAAATGTTATAAAGATATGATACTTACGTAGCAAAAATGAAAATGGCAGCCAATAATTTTTATTATTTCTTCAAAATAAAATATAAAAGCCTTTCTTAATGCAATTTCGAAATCACATGTTAATTTATCTATCTTTAAAGATGGTGCTAATTCTTTAATTTTTTGCGCTACAGAACTGTAGGCGCGGAAAGATTTTGCACTCATCATTACAAAAAATAGAGGGGTAATCTGAAAAAAACCATTTTTTAATGTCATTATATCGTGTTACATTCTTCTGATGTTTTATTATGAAATTTCATTATATTCGGATAAAAATTATTTGACTCCAATTTTACAATGCGGCCGTAATAATAGTTAGGTTTTAATTTTTAATTAAATTAAATTTAATATTAAATTTTTTTTAATTAAATAAAAAGTAAATTTAATAAAATAAGTAGAAAAGAACATTAAAACATTTATTTTAAATAAATTAAAAATAATACCTTTCCGAACGAAAAAACTGAAAAAATTAAAATTTGGTAGGCTCCTTTTAGCCACGGAACAGTTCTGAACGTTCCATCAACTGTGGCAGATGACACGTCTATTTCAAGGACTTTTGATAGAAAGTCTGGTGAGAAGAAGATGATGTGACAAAAATTGTCAGCATCAGTGACGCTTTTAACCAGAACTTTGTGGTTTTCTTCTTTTATACAGTATGTCATTCTCTGCTGCCAAACAGGGTTGTTGAGTACTTCTTCAACATCAACAATATGCTTCGGCACAGCAGGACAACCACCGCGCAACCACCGTCGTAAGGTTCTTTGAAGGAATTCATACGGAAGACTCGATTCCCAATTCGTGTTTCTAAAATAATAAAACTGCCTATTAATATTATACTTGCAAATATACATTTTAAATAAACCATAAACCTGAATATATACTCTAATATGAAAATCTTTTTCATTTATAAATTATATAAAAGTAATATTTTATTAATTCATAAAAGTAAAATTTATACTAAAATTTTTTTTAAAAAAGTAATAAATATTTTCCATACAGAATTTTTAAACAGAATGTTGCGCTTCTTATTTTGTAATTAATGAAATAGATTTTTAAAAAAAATGATTTTTATTTATGAAAAATAATTTTTCTTTTAATGAAAATATAATTAAATTATTAACGATTAATTTAAAAATAATACAGTGATGAAATTGAAAAATTAAGGGGAATAATTTTCTAAAACAGATTTTTTTACGCAACGCCTATAGTCACATTTATTTTAAATATAATAACTTAAAAATATTTTTTCGTTTTATAACATTAACTCAAAATTGGAATAAATTGAAATTTGGAATAATCGAAATTATGTTAATTTTCACTTACTCTCTTCTCACTTCTTTAAAAACTTTTGACGGATTGTCAGGATTTGCAGCGCTCTTCTCCAAGAGAGCACTCCTTTGATGTGCAGCATCTACATTAAATTTGCATTTTTCCAAATGATCTTTCGTTATATAAACGAATTCTATTTCGTCATCATATAATAGTGCTCTTCCCGGGCATTTGCTTTTGTACTGATAAGCACATCTCATATAGCTGTAATTATAATATATATGAAAGGCAAAATTTCTGAAGTGATCCAATTAAAAAAACAATTTCTTACATCGGGCTGCAATTTGCATATTTAATACCATGGGTAAGTTCTGCATACATAAATTATTATTTTAATTCTTTTAAAAAACTGTAAAGGTGTTAAAGAATTCAAATTATGGAAAATTATCACTATTGTATAAAAGGGTAAAAAAATGATGACCAACATGATTTCGAAGGTTTTTTCATATTCTTTTAAATGCTGTAAAATTTTATTAAAAAATTCAAAATTAACCTCTTTTTTGAAAATCTAAAATATTTTTTAATTTTTTTTTAATGAAAGACCATTTTTATTTCTTTTTTTTAATCTTGAAATGAAGCAAAAAATGAACGTTCTTAATAAACAAATTAAACAAAATGTCGGTTTTATGTTTAATCTGTTTATTAAAAGCCTACATTTTAAGCTTCATATTAAATGGTAAAAAAACGAAATAAAAATGGTCCTTTTTTAAAATAGAGGTAAATTTTGAATTTAAAAAAAAAATTTGCACCATTTGAAAGATTAGGAAAAGCTTTTCTAAATAATATAGGTTAAAACTCTTTTTTCATCCTTTTATACAATATTTATGATTTTTGAAAAAATTCAATGTTCACTTTTTTGCTATAGGATCACTTTTTATAATTCGTCAGAGGAATATTATAGAAAAAAAAGTTTTTTTGATTGATTTTATTTATTAAACAATTGTAAATTTCGGACGGTTAAAAGGTACGTTATGTTCTAAAAAATTGGATTTTTTAAACTTATTATATTTAAAAGAATGTACTTTTTTCTATATTAAATGATCGAAAAAATCAATTTTTTCAGACGTACGATCACTTCCAACATCAATTATTAAAAAAATACTTACGTGTAAGGAATTCCGTGCTGTGGAAGTTTTTTTGGTCGTCCCGACTTGTGCCACCGATGGTTTGTTCCGTAATATCTTTCATAAGTTTTATATGTCAGAAATCTCTTTGGTTGTACAATTCGTCCTGATGAAGTCTGATCTAAATGGATAAAGGAACATTAAGCATTTATTATAACCAATTAAATGTATATAATCTATTAAGTAATATAGTATAAAAATACTATAAAACTATTCATTTTAATTTATATATTAGAAAACTTACTTTCTACATTCTGAAAACAATTATTATTATTGTCATTGTTATTGATCTCTTGCTGAGGAAGAGGCTCGTTCACCTGATCAACAGTAGCGACTTCTTCTGGAAGGGAATCATCCAGATGCTGATGAAGAAGAGGCTCGCTCTCCTGATCAAGAGTAGCGACTTCCTCTTGAAGGGAGTCATCGAGATTACAATCTTGATGAAGCGGAGTTAATCTCTTAAGGGTGTAATTATGGTCCCAATCGTAGACGAAGGTTTCTTTTCCAGAAATATACTCGTCTTTCTCATCTACAAAGACGATTAATAGATATACAACTATTAATAAATTGTAGTTTTAATTGTTTTTCCAAAGATAAAATTATAATTTTTTCCATTTGACATCAGATAAATTGGAGTTACAATTTTTCAACATAATTTTCAAAAAGTACATTCATTAAATAAATTATTTCACTTTTTGAGAACTAATTCGTCAAAAAAGACTTATTGTTAATTAAAAACTATTAACTCATTAATTTCAGATTTGAAGAGCATATTTTACTAGGTAATTATTTATAAGATAAAGATAAAGAAAACAAATTAAAAACTTATACACAAAAAGTTTTGTTTATAATTTAAAAACAAAGAGAAGGGACATAGAAAAAAGATTTACATAAAACAGCGATATCTTTTACCAAAATAGCGAAAAATTTTCTTATATTAATGAAAAATAATATTTATGTTCTAAGGAACTTGCCTGTCTGATAAATTTTTTTTAAAAAATATATATATTTTAATATAGGGTCAGTTGGGGTAAAGAGAAACAAGGGGTAAATCGAAACAGTAGTTATTTCAGTTAAATAAAAATTTTTTTAAATAAATACGGCCTCAAACCTTGAACCTTAGATCACCCCCAACAAGGTTTGAGGCCGTATTTATTTGAACAATTTTTTGTTTAACTGAAATAACTACTGTTTCGATTTACCCTTTGTTTCTATTTACCTCAAATGATCATACATAATGTATTTTTCAATTTATTTCAAACTTTTTGATATATGTATACAATGGAGAAAATGAATATAGTCTATCTATTACTAAAAATATAATTTCTTAAAAATAAAATAAAATATATAAGTATATATTTTTTAAAATAAAAAAACGAATAAAATTCAAAAGATGTGTACCTGGTTGCACAGTAGGCAATTTTATATCCATGACTCACAATTGCAGCGCTATTAGAGACAAAATATTATTTATTTCTTCATTGGGACCTATTTAAAAACATATTTAATTTTTCAATATAATGGAGATTTAAAAGAAAATATATAGATACGCCCAGTGGGCAAAAAACCATGTTGCTTTAATATAAATAATTTTACATAATTACAACTTCTTATAGAAGTATGAAAATTTTAAAAATAGACTTAATTTTTTCAAAATATAAATTAAATTAAATTAGTACATGAAATATTTCAAAAATAAAATTCATGAATATATTTTTTGTCAAATAAATTAGTTCAAGTTTAAAACATTTTAAACAGATAAATAGCAGGTATAATCAAAAAAAGGATTTAGTATACGTATCCTTTATTTTCATTAATAATTTATAAAAATAATACCAATAAAAATATCTTTTATTTTATTGACACAATATACAAGTAAAATTTAAAAAGAGACATATTAAAACAAAAAAAAATGTTACTCGAACACGTGCTTTGCTTACACTACAAATTCAACAGAACGAATATCTTTATTAATGATAATTATTAATTTCTTCATTTATATTTATTAATTTTTATAGTTTAACATTTTCTACTTTATTAACAATAAGTACAAGAAATATTTAGGAAAGAAAATGTTAAAAAATTAAGAAATTTGTTACTCGAGCACGTGCTATGCAGACGCTGACTCTATTGTAATACTAATATTAATTTCTTTTCTTTATTGAGATAAAAATTTTATTTCATAATTACTATTTTTATAAATCTAATTATTTAATTTACCTCAATTACTTACACTAGAAATTGGAGAATCTTCTTTCAGCAATCACTGATCGAAAACCAAGATCTTAATCACAATTAATTGCTTTTACTAATTTCCCCTTTTTTATGGAAAGGTCTTTTTAAGCTTTTTGTGGAGACCTCTAGCTTCCGTTTCCAAGAAACAACACACTTTTCGCTAATTGGTTGTTCCAATTTCATTTTTTCAAATCTTACGCCATGCAGTTTTAAGTATTGAGTGTATAATAAAATATCAATACATTATATAAAAAAATGTAGAGGAAAGATAATAATGATTAACATTAAAATTTCATTATTTTATAGGTTATTTCTACTACCAACAAATTGAAATGCGATGAAGTAGACGATTTCGTGAAAAATAAAAATTTTATGTATATTTTTATTTTCAAAAAGACATTAAATTTCTATTATAATGAGAACATGATTATAAAAGATGGAAGAACTTTTAATGAAGAAAAATATTTGTAGTTATACTGTCTTTAAAATAGAATTACAATTATCTGAACTCCAATCATTCGGACGTCTAATTATATAAATTTTTTATTAATTTTAAACTTTAATTAACAACATTTTTAAGACTCAATATTTCTTATGATTGAATTATATAAAATGAAGTCTTGATTTCAGTCTACTTTAAATTTAAATTTAGATTATTTATTTATTTGAGCATAAGCGGGTTTCAAATAAATCCTTTTGTAAAAAAGTACTTAATGCTAAATAAAAGAAAAGCCATACAAATGACAAATTAAGGTAAATTATATTAAGTTAGGATATAATGTTTAATCAAAATTACATTTAATTATATAATAGTTGTCACAGTCTAAAGACAAATCTAGAGGTAATAAAGCATCAAAAAATTAAAATTAAATGATAATTTATATAAGATTAGATTATTTAAATAATTGAGATTGAATTTTAACATGAATAAATATAAAAAAAACTTTTGTTTAATAGAGAATTTATTCTTTTACTCTTGTTACACCATTTTGTAAATAAAACCGGTAACTTTATTGGCCGATGGGCGTGGCACAAGGTGTGGTTTTGACTATATGTGAGTCAATTAATGTAAAAAGACAATTTGATAAATTGTAGTGATACTGGTACTAAATTGAAGTGTAAATTTTTAATATTTTTGCAGATATTTACAAAACAAAATTTTAGTAATATTTTTTTCTATATTTATAATTTTTCCTTAATAAAAATAAATAAAATTGTTGAAAATCTGTTTCACATAGATGATCTTAAATTTTTAGATAAAAATTATTTTTTTAACAAAAATATTAATTTCCAAACAATTTGTTCATAATTTTTAAACACGTTTTTTCTTTTTTGAAGGGCGAAAAAATCAGAATTATTAATCAAATAAATAATTTAAATAATAATATTAATTATTAAAAAATAATTTTATTTATTAAAAATTATTAAATAATAAATAATTTATCAAATAAATTGACTGTTAAATTATAATAATGGTATTATTTTTTGTTTACCAAATATTAATTAATTAAAATTAATAACAGATAAAATATTTTACGAACAAAGAAAATTTGAATTATTTTAAAAAATACCATTACAGTGTTTATCAAAATTCAGATCCATTAAGTACAATATCAATGATTTTTGATGAACGGACGTTATTTAAATTAATAATGAAAATTATTTAAATAATTAATAACTTCTAAAAGAATAAAGATAAACAGTCAATTGCTTTTTTTATTTGAAACATTATTTAATTATGTGTCAAACGAGATCTATGATAATTGTATGTTTAAAATTGTATAAGCATTAATAAATGATATGATTTTTAAAAACAATTCTTCAATAAATTTTTATAAATTTTCTACGTAAAATATTTTATAAGTAAACTTGCAGTAAAATTACAGAAAATTTCAAAAAAAGGAGGTGAACTTTAATATATTTAATCGAATTTCTTTATCAGATTTCCATCAATTAAAATCTTAAATAATAAAATATTATTTAGTAATTGAATTAATTTTAATATTTTAGTATATAATTAATACTATAACAAAATTATTATTTGCAACATATGGTACTTAATTTTACATTTGTGAAATAAGAGACAAAAACGAAAGATTATAACGAGGGCAATTTATTAAAATCAAAATTATTTAAAAAAAATAATTGGCAATGAAAAATAATATAATTTTATAGTATATCGTAGTCACTAATTTAATTAGTAATATATTTCTATCAACCATTAAGTTATAATAAGTAACAGTTAGTTTAATCCATTTTTAAAATAAGGTAATGTAATTAAAAATTAAGTAGAAATTCTACAAACTAGTAAAAATAAAATAATAATAATACAAAAAAATTAATGAGTCAATTAATAAAATTTGATTCTTATTTCAGTTATTTCTTTCTTTAATTACTTATGTCACTAATTGCTGAAGCAGAAAGTTATGATGATGATGACAATACATATGATGATTCATGATTTTACTAGCTATTAATTATTTTTAACTTAAATTTTTACAGCAATAAAGTTTCATATTCAGAAAGATATCTTTAATAAAGTAATTAATTAATTACAAAATTTTACAAAAAAACTTTACAAAATTAAATCAAAATATTTTATCTTAATGATTACTTATTCATTTAATAAACAAATCGGTGCAATTAAATTAGTCTAAATTGACTTATTCAGATTTAGAGATAAATTTAAGTATTAAGAACCCCCCTATCCTTAATTACTAATGTTTAATATGATAGGAATATTGAAAGGATTAATTTTCTACAATGTGAAAGAGGTAATTTTTAAAAATTAAATAATTTATTATAAAAAACCTATTACAAATATAGCTTTAATAATAAAACAACAATTATAAAACGCAGACATGTTTTCAATAAATATCCAAATAAAATTCACAAAAGTTAAATAATATATATTCCTTGATTGCATTCTTTATGGAGCAACAATTAATTAATGTTAATAAAAAAGTAAAACTACTTACAACTGCAGTTTGAATTAAAAAAATTTTGAAATAATTACAAAAAAATTAAAATTATATTTTTGGACATAAGATCTAATTAGCAGTTATCATAGTTTCTTTGCACTAAATTAAACCTGAAAAAATGCAACAAAATATATTCAGAAACACTTATCAGAACGTACTATTTACTGAAAGAAATTATGGAAAAATCGAAATTACAATTACAAAATGCAACTTTTTACCTTTTTTTGAAAAAATTGTTATACATTTTTTCTTATTTCTAAACACTGCTAATCCTGAAAAATTCAAAGAAAAAAATACTAGACAACATATTGAGAAATTTATTTTTCAAACACAAAAAATGGGGAAAAATCGAAATTTAAGCTTACTGTATATATGAAAAAATTGCTTCGTAATTGTTCTTGTCTCCTCACACTACATTACACTTGTGTAACCCCCAAAAAAGATTCCGACCACCTTTTCAAAGAATTGACTTTTTAATCACAAATAATTGAGAAATATAATATTTAAAAATCGTAATTGGAGCTTTCTTTTTGTCTGAAAAATTTGTTTTGTATGTACTATTGTTTATTTAAAGATTATTATGCCTAAAAAAGTCGAAGAAAAAATACGTTACACTGTTTTCGAAACATTTATTTATAACCAAAAAATTTTTTTTTATATGAAAAAATTATTGCGTAATTTTCTTGTCTCATAACAATTTATTATACCTGCAAAATCCGAAAAAAATTCTCAACAATGTTTTCCAAAAATTGACTTTTTAATCACCAATAATTGTGGAAAAAATTTTTAAACAGAAATTAGAGCTTTGTTTTGGCATTATAATTAGTTTAATACTTATATTTAATGTCGAATATTATTATAATTATAAGTCGAAACGAAATAATACATCATATCTTTAAAAGTACTTATATTTATTTCACTAAACTTTGTTAAACATGAAAAAAACGAAAAAAATACTCGGCACTAATTTTTTAAAATTTTCTTTTCAATTAAAAAAAACGCTAAAAATAGAAATTTAACAATTCTCTTTGCAAAAAAATTGTTTCACATTTTTTCTTGTCTCCTCACAATTTATTATACCAGAAAGAAAAAAAGAAACAATACAGGGCACATTTTTCTAAAATTTTTATATTAATTACAAAAAAATTACCAAAAATCGAAATTTTAGATTATCTTTTATCTAAATTGTTTCGTATTTTTTCTTGTCTCCTCATAC